TTATGATTAATGAGTTTCTGTTGCAAATTTTGATATTGTTGAACGTGTTATAAATATTTTAAGTAGAAAGTTTTTTATTATCACTTAAATATATATTTTTAGAAAATATAAAGTATTTATTAATTTTTCGACGTATTTTTAAAATGTTCTAGATGATATTTTGCAATTTTATAGGGTATAGTACCAACGCGAACATCGTTCGTACTCAGCGCGAGAGCATAGGCTTTTATTAAAGATTCATCCACCTCGACCGGCTCCAAATATGCGCCTAAGCCATTTATAAGCTGCAAGTAAATGTTAGTTGGAAGTATTATAAAGCCTACTAAGAGACATAAACTTACCAGGGAATCATCACAATTTAGATAACACAGCGCGGGCGCATAATCCGACCACATACGCCGACGCCACTTACTGTCGTATTTCTGTGCCATTGGCACTAGTACTAAGGAACCGAATAATTCGTCGCCGTAACTGGTGGCTTGAAAGTGATCGACGAATAAGGAGTACAAGCTTTCGAATTTGCACTTGCCTGCAAGAAATGCAATTTAATTAATGTAAAATAATAGCAGGGTTGAATGATTAATTTTAAGGCTGTAGACTGAATTTAATTTAATAATTTTCGCTTTTTCGACACAAGAAGTATAAACTATCTTCCCAAAAAAGTTTTGATGACCTTTTTGAATCAATAATTTGAAATAATTAAATTGATTACATCAAAATTCCGTAGTAAAAAACCCACGATAATAGCCAAAAAATCCTACATTTCACACACCACCGATATTATAACAGCTCTGTACTCAAATCAAATATAATATTTCAAACTCTTAAAGCAGCTCTACCTCCGAGGAGTGTCAAAATTCCAATAAAATACTGACTACATATGACTTCTTACCCAACAAATTTCGGATATAGTGGCCTAACATACAAATAGACGCTGGTCATTATTCACAACGAGTCAATAAATATCCTCAGAGTCAAATAACTTCTTATTGTGGACGAAGAGTTCGTATTACCTCGTAAAACCAAAGAAAACTCACCGTAAATCCGTTTTACATATTTTATTAGATTGAAATCCGACCTATATAAACAATTTCTCTAATGCACCGTTAGATGACATCGCCAATTCCTCATTTCCTATTAATTAAAAAGTTATTAATGTCGTTATAGGCAAAAATAACGCATTTACGAATCAAGGGTTTGCCAGTGACTGACAAGGGACAACAATTATTAAAAAAAAAATACTTTTTGAGGATATTTGAACCAAGGGTTGGAACCAGATCCGTCTTTGAGGAAAGGTGCATCTCTAAGATCTACACCAAAACGGTCGTAACCGAAGCAAACGATTGTCAACGAGAGATAAAACGAAGAGATACCGACAGCTCGCCGACGCTAAATCGTACGGTACTGTTACATACATGCCGTTAATACATAACTTATTGAAAATCTTCTTAAATTGCTCATAGCTTTTATTCACAAAATTTGCCACATCGAAAGCTTACCTATAACAGCCTTATCAAAATCGAATGTATAATTCTGATATTTGTCATAAAAGCGTAGCAAATGTTTACGTAGCAGTGGCCGTATTTCCTCATTCAGAAATTCACTTTCCGGACCCATAAACGCAGTCATAGCATACATAAGCTTTTCGGTAGGCGTTACAATTTTTAAATTCGAACTCGAATCCTCCAACTCGGTGACGAGTGTGAGAGTCATTTCCAAAATATCACGTTCTAAATAGATTAAGATATATTTTATAAAAGCTCAATTATTATAATATAAATATATATTCGTCATAATTTACCAGAGAAATCCATCGTTATGCTTTGTGGCGCATTATCAATGAAGTTTTGTAAGATAATTTTGAAGAAAAAATAAGGCCAATCACGGCTTAAAATAGCACTGGTATGTGATGACTTCGTCAAGCTCAAATTCGAAGGTTCCTGAGAGGGTGAAGAAATTAATTTTTCTGAAAAAAAAGTTTGTATCGCCAAAAAACTCACCACAACAATGTAATGCGTCTGCGCCAAGCTGACAAAAACGTCCTTCCATTTGAGCAACGCCGATTCAAACACATTTAAATACTGTGCATTGAATATTATGCGTTCGAAAAGTTGCTCTATCTCCAGTATATGCTCGGCGCCGAGGCAACACAAATAATTATAGACGAGTTGTAGTATTTGCGAGGAGTTGAAGTGCTGTAGCAATTCACTGCAGCCCAGCAACTTATAAACGAACTTCACTTCGATTTTTGTGTAGAAATTACTGCATAAATAATGATTCAAATTGTGGGAGAGCAAAGTGAGATATTGCACAAAAGTCTCCGCAATTGGTGGCGTCATTAAAGCATCTAAAAGTGGCTTATGGACTTCAACATGACTTCGAGACATTTGTAATTCGATGTGAGACCATAGTGTGTTTAGCAGGAAAACGCTATAGGCTTGCGGTATAATCAACTGGGGGCCATTCTCATGCAACAGCACTGCACCCACATTGGGTAACGGTGTATGCACATAACGACGATCGCCTGACTTGCGTAGAATTACAGAGGAGGTGCTATGTCGATGGAATAATATGTATTTAAGCAGATTAAGCAATGCAATAAATGAAACTGTACATACATTAGTTGATTCATACATTTCCTAAAAGATTCGGAAAGTAAATAATCGCGCAAATATTTCGTAATGAATTCGTGAAAATGTTTAGCTTCATCGCGTTGTATTTGCCAATTTACGGCATGTAGACAGGCACTGAGAAGTGTTGTTTGGGAGAACTGAAAAAAATAAAAAAAAAAAAAAATGTTGAAAAAATTATATTGAAAAATTTTAAATAAATAAAAAACTAAAAAAAAAATTGAATAAAAAGAACTAGTAAGGTAGAGCTAAGTTCGGGTATAACCGAACATTTTATATTCTTGCAACTTGCAAAGGTCAAAGACTCGGCGAAATACTTTCAAGTATTGGCAATATTAAGAAACCAATTTCATTTATATTGACCGCCAAACCTTTAATGTACCATAATTTTATAACTTTTAAGAAAACGCGTACACTTGATCACACATTTTGAAAAACCTAAACGGTTTATAGTAAGCTGGAAAATTGGAAATCACTATATAGGTTATATTGGGGGCAGATAAATGAAAGGTCTGATTGCATTAATTTCGACATTGCTCAGGTATACTTGAGAACATATTTTGAAGCAATAGTCATTGACCAACTTAAAACTTGCTAGGATAGCGAAAATAATTATAAGTAGTATATGGGAGTTGAGGGTAGTATTGACCCGGTTTTATCTATTTTTGACAATACCACATACCATTAACATGCCGCATACTAATCAGATGCTCGAAGGGTTTCATTAAAATACCTCACATACTGTCACCCACATATATGGAGTAAAATCTGCCGGATCTGTTTGAAAATTATGATATTAGTTATATAGGGGCTAGGTCAAGTTTTCACTCCATTTTGTACTCTGTTATTAGAAAAATACGCTCTCTCATTTTTATTGAGATAACTCACTTAGTGGTCGATTTGTGCGATTTAAAGTCACTCGGAAGTTTAAAATTTTTTATATAAGGTATATGGCGGCTAAGGGAAGTATTGAACCGATTAAACCCATTTTTGCCATACAGACAAACTATTAACAGGAAATAATCCCTTTATGAATTAGAATTATATATCTCACAGATTGACCGGTATTTTCGTCATTATTAGTCAACTATAGACACAGGGGTCCACATATTTGGTACTTAGGGGCTTGAACAGTTTCGATTTGGACAATTTTTGGTCATAAGATGGCACACTTCAAAGGCACTATTCGTGCAAAGTTCTATCACTTTGTATTAATTTGTGCGTTATTTGTATACTTACTAAAATGTGAAAGCATCAGAAGGTATTTAAAATTGGTGATTGCGAATTTAAAAGTGGAAAGTAGGCGTGGTTGTAGTCCGATTCATTTTCACTATAACTTAGGAGTGTGTACCGTATTTGGTTGAAATCGTGCCAACAAGTCCCAAAATATGTGATTTCACCTAAAAGTGGGTGGTGCCACGCCCATCCTGGATGTAAAATTTAATATCTCAGACACATTTAGTTATTGATTTTTTACAGTTTTAGTAATTTTTAACAAAACCGTTTTATGGAGAGTGGGCGGGGTTATGATGCGATTGCACCCATTTTCACACTATCGTAAGAAGGGTAGAAAAAATTTGTTCTCTGCAAATTTAGCTGATATAACACTATTGGTTTGGAAGAATTATACATTAAACTTATTAGTGGGCGGGGCCACACCGACTTTTTAAAGATTTTAAACCGCCAAATTTGAGTTATGATCTTCATTTACGTCTTAATTATGGCACTTTATAAGTTTTCGTTTAATGGCGTTTTGTGGGCGTGACAGTGTTCCGATTACGCCCATCTACGAACTCGTCCTCACTTTTTTGCCAAGAACACGTGTACCAAGTTTCATTAAGATATCTTAGTTTTTACTCAAGTTTCCGCTTGCACAGACAGACGGACAGACAGACAACTCGTCTCATGATCCTGATCATTAATATATACATAACCCTATATCTAACTCGATTAGTTTTAGGTGATACAAACAACCGTTATGTGAATAAAACTATTATACTCTGTAGCAACATGTTGCAAGCGTATAAAAATAATGAAATTGTTGAAAAAAATAAAGATGTAATACATTGTCTACATTACCTCGGTAACATCACTTCGTGTCGCACGATAAAACCAGGCGGAACAGCATTTATTAAGCGTTTCGCTCAACATATGATTTGACTTCGCACTGCAGGGCTCACTGCTAATTGCCATTAATAAAGCCGAAGCGTGTTGCCGCAGCAAATATGGACCGCCCAACTCGAACTTTAAGTAATTGCAATGCCACTGCAACATATTATAGAAGGCGGAATCCAAGCTGCTGCGCTTGTCATAAGAGAAAAAACGCAACACAAATATTATATAAGAAATACATGATTATTTAGGAGTTGTTGGAGTATATAAGCGCATGTTTCGGAATTCAGCACATTTCTTTCTAATTTAAAAACTACACAATGAACACCAAACAGTTTGTGTTTTTAGTCATTATTTATCAATATACATATTGGACAGGAGTTGACGCTGTGAGTAACCGTATAAAATATTTGTAATATATACTATTAAAAACTATATTTTGTAATTACTGCCGTCAAACAATAGATGGAGGTGCCCAAACACTTGATATCAGGTGTAAAGAAATTGACTAATATATGCCTAAAGGAATCTGGTGCCACCGAAGGTTTGTAGATAAACATTTTTGTAGTGAAATGCTATAAAATATTTTTTCTAGATTTATTCAAAGAATTTACGGAGACAGGAGAATTGCCTAACAATCAAAATTTGAAGTGCTTCATGCATTGTGTATTAGACAAAATTGGATTGGTAAGACAAAGAGTGAATTAAAAATAATTAAAAAACAAAAATTATTCAAAAAAAAAATAAATAAATATAAATAAAAATAATAAATAATAATAAAAAAAAATAAAAATTATTAATTAAATAAAGCAAACAGGATAAATAAAACTAAAATATTAAAAACAAATGATATATTATAAAATATAATATATTAAAAATTGATTTATCTAAAATCTATATTAAATCACCAATTAACTACTACAATAAATTTTTAGATTGATGCTGATAACATCGTGCACTTGGATAATCTCATTGAAATAATGCCACCCGACTTTGTGCCGATAATTGAACAGTTAAACACTACTTGTGGCACAAAAAGTAAGTGTAATTTTTTATATAATTTTATATATATGCAATTTAAGAAAATAATATTAAAACGCAATTTTAAACAGGTGGCGCTGATGGCTGCGAAACGGCGTTTTTAACAATAGAGTGTTATATAAAAACAGAACCAATAATATCAAAAATGTTGTTTGTAAAATTCGCGAAATGATATTGCAAATAAAAATAAATAAATAAATAAACAGTAAATTTGAAAAGTTAAAAATTGAAACGCACCTGTAAAGCGAATCGTCAATACGCAACAGCAGCAGACAACGCACAATGCGTAAACACTCAATTTGCACTTTAATCATGGCATCCTAAAATATAATACATAAAATATAGCATTGAATATTTGTATATAGAAAAATATTATTTAGCTACTTTAATATCGCTGCGGTAGGACAAATAGTTGATCAGTATTTCCGACAGCTGCAAATTCATCAAGCGCACAGCGATGCCGAGATTTTGTGTAATTAAAATACGCACGAGTTTTAGGCATAAAAATTGTGGTTGATAATAAAATTGCGGCGTCGACAAGTTTGTTTCTATAAAAAGAACAAAAAAAATATTTTTTTTAAATAATTTATTTCGTTTCACATACGGTATACAACCAATACGAACCCAAGCGTGCCAAGTCTGGCAAGAAATGCACAAAGAGACAATGCATTAGCTCGTTATTGGCAACAATTTTCGCAGCGATCTCCTTGTTTGTGCGCGCCAAACGTATTAGCAGTTTCAAACACGACGTTACTGTGCTATTTTCCGGCTTGACAGCGCTCAAAATAAAACTAATAACAATATATTAGTTGGTTAAATGAATTTTCACTAGACTAACACTTACTAGATGCGCTGCAGAATATTTGTACGCAACAGACATTCAATCAGATTAGTTTCCGCTAATTGAAAATCGCTCATGGAAGTTTTGCTCTCATTTTCGTTCTCTTCGAAATCACTACGAAACTTGGTACGATTGCTTTCGTCGTGCATTTGCAATTGTTGCATTTGTTTTTGTAAATTTTCTATCGCATTCAGATCTTTTATATCAGTACTCATGTCGGCTGACTCCAAACTGGGTTGCCAATGACAGCCTGGATTTTCAAAAATGAAATCCAGTAAAGTCTACAAAAAAAAATTTTAAAAAAATTAGAAATGATTCCACAATATTTAATACAATATATTAAATACCTCATCTGCCTCGTTGTAAAAGAGAAAAGCTAGCGCTCTTGACACGACCTCCAGCACAGCTGGTGTGTTGTCATCCAATCCGAGACGTAGTAAGAAGAATATTTTCGAAATTGGCAACTCTAAGACACCATCATAAAAGCCTTGATTGTATATGCTTAGAATACCAGCAATCGCACCGAATGCCGAAATGCGCTGTTGCATAACATTCGAACTATATAAATTATTATTTACGAATATCAAGCCATATTAGTTGAAAAAACGAACAATATAAAATAATTAAATACCGTGCTAAGCGAAAAAGTTCTTGCAGTGTGTAACCGGGTCGGTGTGGTTCATCTCCATGCAGATAAAGTTCTCTATTATCTTTCGCGGGAACATGACTGGCAGGTGCCACTTCTATAGCTGTAGTGTTTTCGACCGAGTATGGTAGCAATACGCCCTTCCAGTCGAAACGCGCCTCAAATTGTTCACCCGGCTTTACATTCGCTGTGTTTTCTTCGATATCGCGCATCCATTTAAGCTTATCTGTCTCCACAACATCGAAGTGTATCCAATTTTCAGCATCACTTTGTTGTAATATTTCATATGCCGCATTGGTCGGGGTTATGATAGAACTAACATCCATAGGTTCTTGTTTCTCAAACTTTTCAGAGGGTTTAGTGTTAGTAGTAGTGCTCATAGTGTTTGCAATCAGCGATTGATTTGATTTTTGTTGTCGCCTCTTTTTCAATAATTCCAAGAGCGTGGGGTCTACATTCGTTATAATTTTGATTCATTGATAAATATTGTATACAAAAGCTATTTGAAAATATTTGATTTATGCACTTACCAATAGAATTCAACAGTTTCTCCCTTTCGGCTAAGATGTCATCTCTACTCATTTTACTCAAAACATCTAAGTTTTCTTTATGCACTTCCTCAGCAATTGTAGAATTGCTGACTATCACGCTTTCGTTACCATAAATTTTGGTCAAATCCTCTGAAGGTTGTCGTACGTCGTTTTTCTTCAGCTGCTTTTTACATAAACCACCAGATGCAAATATACTTTTGCCAGCTTTTGGAGATTTCTAGAAATTCATAGAAATGCGTGTTACAAAAGTTGAGCCAGTTTATAAATGTGTTTCGACTCACTTCCAAAGTAGTTAATTTGATTGTTGGAAACCCTATATTTTCTTCAATGTCCATATTGTCGTTTAGCATTGGAGCATCGAATTTTTTTTCTACAATATCACCAAGCACAATCTCACTAAACTTTTCTACGTTGCTTGTGTCCAAATTTCCAACAATTTTCTCATGTATTTCTCCTAAGATTTCTTGCCTAACTGGCGAAACTGGCGCTGCATCCTTAAGCGTTTGCTTTGCGTGGTCGTCAGCTGCTTTTTCATCTGCCTTCTGGCGGCTTCTTACAAACAACGATTTTTTGGTTTCTAATGTTTAAAATGTTTAACAAATATAAATAATTACTTCCAATTATTTTTATATCTACCTTTTGGCACTTTAACAACTTGTGCCGACGGTTGGAGTTTTGGATTTTTCGCCCGTTGCGATAAAAATTCATTTTGCATCCGCAATATATCCTCTTCGGTTTCACCACTTTGTGGTCGTTTTATCATTTTTAAACCTTATTATTTCAATAAAAAGCTCTTTGAATGTTCAAATAAGTTTATACGAATTTCACATTGGTGTCGCGCGAATGCAAATAAACAATTGCCATATGATATTGTGGTGTTGCCAGCTGCACCTGAAATTATTATTTTTTTTTGTGAATATTTGCGAACGAACATTATATCATTTGTTCGTTATCATTTAACCCTTGTTCAACACGAAATTACAAATATAATAAAAACAACAGTTAATTATATTGAAGAGAATTAGCTTCGTTTTTTAATAAAATTAATTTTTGAGATATATTTTATTTAAAATTAAGGTAGTTGTTGTACAGGAAACATTCCCCAAATTTTTTTTAGCACTGCTGCGGAATTGATGTCCTTGATCGGACATACATAAGTCCATTCCGGTTGTGTGGACTCAACTTTCGTGGGAACGGTGCTTGGAACCGGTCTCCCGTTTACTAAGAAATTCCAAACTAGTTACAGGTTCACTGAACGTGAGTGGGTTTCATTTGGAGCCATATAAGTGGTAAAATATTCCTCCTAAGAAGCGGCTTTGCTCAAGGAAGTGTTTTCAGATGAGATTATGGATTTCTATGAAAATATATAGCTGGAAACCAGTGCAGTATAATCCTTGGTAGGTAACATGTAGGCTTCATTAAGAAGGGAGTTGTTGCTGTTGCAGTGATGGAAACCAATCCGCAAATAATTTTGATTACTTTTGCCGACTTTACAGGCCTTATTCGCATAACAATATACATCCGTAAATCGATCGTGGGCACGTGTTGTTTTGTAGCTTTTAGAAATGCTGTTGATGTTTACGATATTTATCTGTTCACTTGGACTTAAAAAAAGGAAAGAATTTGTATGTAATCACATTTTTGTTTCTTCTAATAAATGTATTTCAAATATTTTTAGTTTCTCAAAAGCTTTCGAAATAAAAAGATTCCTTACACTTTATTGTCATCTATTTAAAAGTGGTACCCCCATCGGCTAAACACTTAATCAACGAATGCTGTGCAATAATTGTGTCCTTGTGGGGCAAAACTGCGATTTCGAAAAACATTTCAATACCTTCCTTAAATTGCTCAATTGCTTCCGGTACGTTTTGATTGTGCATGTCCTCAGCGGCTTTGCGATAAAGCTCCTCTATTTGAATCATCTTCGCTACACTCGCTTTGAGTGAAACATTTTTTCGACAACGTGCACAGCGCACCTCCTTGGATATATCCTTCGGGAACTTTAAAACATTAGGACAATTTGCCATGGGGCAACGGAAACGAACTTGTTTATCGATTTTCTGTATTGTAGGCCAATTCTCTTGACAGGCCATACATTTGCAGTCGAACAGGTAGCGTCCACGCAGTGATCTTTGGCGCTCTTTCAAATTTGTTTTGGTGAAAATTGGTCCATAGTTCTCAGCTATCACTTCGTTCGGCTGATGGGGCTTTATAGTTGTCAACACTAATTTCTTTCCAACGAAATAACGTGCCACGCTCGGCCAGCACTCGTGATTGAAATAAGCGCCTGTCGCATAAATTGCAGTCCCCACGTAGACAACTTTAGAGCCCTCGAAATGGTGTTCCTCAGTGATCTTGGTCTCAAAAACTTCGTGTGCGTTGTATTGTAGCACCTGCAAGAGTCCAAGTAGAGCGGAACCAACTTGTAATTCAACAGCAGTTGGATTCACCCCTTCACTCTTACGACGTCCAAAGTATTCAGCTTTCTGTAAGCATCGTAACAAGAAGCCAGCCATCAGTGAACGTTGTAAGTAGTCTTCGGCGTGTCGACTCTCAATATGCGCACACAGATGCTCATACATTAAGTTCGCATCATGGATGGCACTCTCCACGCTCGATGCTTGTGTGAATACACGTAAGGCCAGGTAGCAGAGTATTGACATGCCGGAACCTGAAAGATTATGAAGAGAGTCTGTTTTAACAAAATTATAACATTGCTGATTTTATAAAATGAAGTATAATATTAATTCGCGAAAATGTATTTATGGAAGCAGAACTATAGAAATGGCTGGATGCGCGTAGTCTGCCACTGGCTCCATCAATAGCAAGAGGCTTCATTAAACGGCGGTTTGATCAAACTCGGTAAATATCTTCCTAGCGGTTAATTATTTACTCGTATAGTAATTTTCGTTAATTTTAAATTCGTATAAAAACTACAAGAGCTTCACGTCCGTTTCACTGGCCGAACAACTTGACAACTCCATTAGTCCATCCGCGACCACTGAAGCATTCATTGTTATGAAAGAGCTGATGATGGGCCATTGGCTGAGCCAAAAGAAGGTTTATTAAGGGATCCTCTCATGAACCGTTAAAAGATCGAAGAGATCTGAGAACACCTCGGTATATTGAAACTGAAGGATACATCTAGAGGTCCTATATCTAATTTTCTGAAAGACCTATTTATGTACAAAGCCTTGATGTGTTTTTTCACGTGTAGTAGATTTAAAGACCAGGATCTAGTAAGTGGAATATTTTGGATATTTGGTAACGATGTTAGTAGAGTTTCTTTTCAAAACACTTTATCACAGTTAAAGAAGAGAGGATATTGTACTGGCGGCGATTTAGTAAACCAGGCGGATCCCCATTTTCAGAGGTATACAAAAAATATTCAAAAAACATCGAGACAAGAACGGAATTAAATTATTGACACAAATAAATCGTAGAATAAGTAACTTTTTAAAAGATCTAAAAAAAACATGGAATCTAATATTATTTGGAGTTACGGTACTTTCTTTTGACGGCGATCAAATCAGTGCATGATTAATTTATGCTTTAAAACCAATACACACCGCGTGTGAGCTACATTGTGTTTCAAAGCATTATCGCATTTCATAGCAAATAAGAAGTATAATACAATTTTTAATGTTAACATTTCACACATTTTCTTGAATGCCGTTAATTAGCAGCTTAATGAGTTACTTAAGTGTTTAACTCTAATTTTCAACGTGATTTACTTTACCTATGAAAAGATCCATAAAATTGCATTCAAAACGATGATAACTGTCACATGCCTCTCCCATGCACTGAGCTGAGCAGAAAGCGATTCCAGAACAATTAACACATGGCACCGGAGTAATTAACCTGCAAGTGTAGACTTTTAGTGCTAATGCATTTCAATTTGTATCAAATTTAGCGTTAATTTATGCAAGTATCTTTACGTAAAGATGGTAAAGGCTAATAGCCCTTATATGACTCATTGATATTTTTATATTTAGAAGCCTTTTGTACTAACTAAATATATTATATTTGTATGTATGTATATGATAAATGCTTATAACTATTTTTTTTGTTCGCCAAAAACAATGATCATAGAATAACGATTTTTTACTACCAAAATTTATTTATTATTTTTCGATATAAGAGAATTAAATTTGGTTAGAAGTTGAGTTTAGAGCTAATGCTATCAAAGTATGTACTAGAGTAGAGCGGAAGAAAGTTATCTTATGTGAAATTTTCAGTTACAGTTACATATCCAAATTTCTAAGCTTCTTTTCTGTTATTATCGTGTTGGTACTGGAGTGTTCCTTCAAAGCCAGACAGCATCTTTAGAACTTAACCTCACAATTTGCGGTTCTAATACTATACTTTGTAAAACTTAGATTAAAAGTCTTCAACGCCTACATTCGAAAGTAAAATTTCTTTCAGTTCTGTCGCGAACCCGCAGAAAAACTTGATTAGCAGTTCCCGATCGAAGCTTGAGGCTAAGTGCAAGAAAAAGGAAAAGTGAGTTGAAAGTGGCGAACTGAATTTATTACAGTTTAAATTACAAGAGGTATTGCAACCTCAAAGTATTTAAGAAACACTCACAAAGTTACAGTACTTTGATCGATATAAATTCGAAAGTTTCAAAGAGAAAGATCTCAAGTTGTGAGCATCTTTGAACTACATACTAGTACATTACTATATAGACACATCATAATAAATCTTTAACTCGTACATACCTCTCAAAGCAGTGATGACAGTGACTTCCATAGAAATTGGGCGATAAACATGCGGCAACTGGATTCTCGCAGAGCACAACATCGCCGGTTTTCAAATGCTCACCGGCGACAATGAAACGACCTCTCTCTTTAGTCTCCGCCAACTTTACCAGGTTAGAGGCACCACGTAAGTTGGCATTTTCACCACTCGCCAGAGGTGGTGCCACGGCCGATTCAATCTTTTCGCTTGGTTTAACAAGAGATAATTCTTTACCGAAAGCGTCCCTTAAGGCAATATTATTACCCGAGAGCTTCTCAGCAATCTTCAAAGATATTTCGGAGCGAGCAGTTTCACCCATTACTGAAAAAAAAGAATGTTTATGATTAGATAAATAGAGTACAATTATTGGATAGTTAAAGCACGAGCAGTGCTTGGACTATTGAGAGTTAAGTGTTGTGTTTTAACTTTAAATTGGCGACATTGATTATTTTTTACAAATTATTTCTTCCAATTCGTATATTCCATTAACTTAAATCCAAACATCCTTTAATCTTGACGGACTCACAGATCGTTAATTGATTTTTGATATTATTTGCAAGACGTTTTACGGATTATCATGATCATACAAGTAGATCAAGTAAGGAAGTGTAACAAACTTTGGAGGATGATATAAAATTTGACAGCATATTAGCCGTTTTCAGATAAAGTCACAAACGCGTATGCGTCCGATCCCTTTGATTTCATATTACTCTCTCTCTCTCTCTCTCTCTCTCTCTCTTCAGCGAATTCTAAATATAAAACCGTTAAATCGAAACGGTGATATAGGAAATTCAAAGTCTCTTTATTGGAATTAGTTCTTGAATTTTACTTTAGTCCAAAAAGGAGGAAGCTTTCGAGAAGCGATAGTCATATTTTACATTTTACAATTTCCACAATCTAGCGTACTATCCGCTATCCACTTTTTCAATCTACTGTTGTTTTTGTATACCAGCCTTTATCGGTAGCAATAGGGCGGTCCGTTCCGGTTATGTACGGCTGTTTCCTATTTACTTATTTACTATTAAGTGGTAATGGTTCAAAGTAAAGCAGCTCGTGTGAACGGAGCATTTTTTGTATACTTACAAGCATAAGCCTTAGCCAATTTGATATAATAATCGACATTCTCCTTTAGCTCCAAACCATAGTTTGCGGCTAATTTGAGATCACTCATGGCAGCCTGACCATTTCCCAAATTAATAAGAATTGATGCACGCGAGCGGTAGGCCATAGCCAAACTGAGACCATTATCTACAGCTAGATCCACATCTGTAATTGCATAGAAATTGAAGAAATAACTCTAGGAATTTAGAAATATATAAAAACTAAAGCACTGCACCACTCACCTTTTGTCGGTGCACGCATAACGGCCAAATTGGCATGAGCCAAGGCTTGTTGAAAGTCTCCCAACAAATTGAATTTATCCGCCAGTGCGCGCCGTTGTACCGAAAAAAGTCCATCCTTGCCTTTATAGACCGGTGCGACATTTTCCAACACACCCAAGACCGTATCACATACCTCACGATCGCTGAAGATCGATAATATACGCGCTTCGTTCGATTTCAATTGGCTGAAATAGTGTTTCAACCACTTGTCACTGCAGCCTTCTTTCACCTCCAAAAAGAATTCGTTGAAGAAACCCTTCTGATCGGACTGCACGGTGCGTGCGCTGCAGATTTGCTGATAAGAAATGTCTCCCATCTCCATACTGTACAATGTGTAGATATTAAATTTTGTGTAGCTTGATTTTCGAAAACGTTTTTGAATTGAAAAACACTTGTGTGCACTTTGATAAATCTAATTAAATCTAATTGTTGCAAAGTTAATATTATATTATTTTCGGTTTAATTAAAGTTCATTTTATACAGCTGTTGATTCTTTCAGTTTTCTTACTTAACTTTGCCCACCCAAAAATTTGTAGTTGCACTTCTAAATATCTAAAAATAAATACTGGGTTTTTCTTTCCAAAATTCTGAATGAATGGAGATTATTGTGAATGCAAGTTTTTCAAAAACTATCAAAAATATTCACAGTATTTTCGAAGTACAGTTTGGTCTAAAGGTATTGCGATCGCATTAATTTTGTAATATTCGAGAATATATTTTCAGATTGTAATTGAAGTTAGTTTAGTTTGTTATGAGTTCCAAATAAGTTTTTAATAACTTCAAAATCATGTCTTCAGGAAAAACATTACTGTGATTGACCACCCAGGGTGGTTGATCTTCCGATCGGAAATGAGCCACAAAGTCTAATCTAACCTAAAACTATAACTATAACTATAACTACCCTATACCTAAGGCATCCCAGATCAAATAAGACGTCCCAAAATAGAGCAAATCTTTCGCGTTGACAATACCTTGCCGTTAAGAAACTGCTGATTGATCTTTCCGAGCACTTTTAACACATTTCGACAGGTTTTTGAAAAAAAAACCTGAGGCCAGTTTTCAGATATTATTCATATTGACTTAAAAAGTTGATGCGACACTTATAGCAATTATTATTAGAAATATTTAGTTTTCCGGCGATTATATAATAATTAAATATTGAAAAATAAACAAGACAAAAATTAACTTCGGTTGCACCGAAAGTGTATTTCTTAAAGTAACTATGTATACGAGTATGTATAACTAAATCTGAAAACGTAACCAACCAACGGAACTTTTGATGGTCCTTTCGAGTTCGGTTCCTTCATAAGGAAAAAATATCTTATATCCAGATTTGCTTTGGATAATAATCCAAGCCAAATTTCGTGCACATGACTTGCCCAATAAAAAGTTTTCCATACAAGAATTTAATTATGATAGGTCAGCTTTTATGGAAACTATATGCTATAGTGGTCCGATATCGGCGATTCCGATATATGAGCAAGTTCTTAAGAAAGAATGTGTGCACAATTTCAGATCGATATCTTGAATAGTATATACAGACAGACGGGCATGGTTAAATCGACTCAGCTTATCAGGCTATATACTTTATTTGGGTCTTTGACGTTTTCTATCTGTGCAGACCCGCTTCAAACGTATGTCGCATGATATATATGTTATACCTGTTCTAGACAGCATACTATTTCGATCATGCTCGAAAATTTCGAAATACCGAATTGATAATCGTCTTTTCTTACCTCTTTCAACTCAAATTATAATTCCTAACAATAAACATTGGAAAGTTACCGTTACAGATAAATGAAATTATATATTTGCAGAATCCGCCTGACATAGATGGCTGTTATAAGAATTTTCCCACACGTACCGCCTCTCCCACCACAACTGATGATTTTAAAGAGATCTAATGTTATCAGCCAGCTACATACATATATACTCCATACACCCATCTCGTTTCCTGTTGCATCTTATCACGAATATTTGATTAACGGATGTGTCACAAGCCAACATTTGCCGTCATATCTGGAAAGTGTTTGCATCACGTTGTTATTATTATAATCCGTAAATCATAAGATATTGTTTTTACGTCTTAGACGACCTCTACGTGACCACTATGTCGAATAATTAGTTGATCTAATTCACACGTAAGAGCTTAGCATGCAGCATATTGAATATTTAATATTTGGAAAACGATCTCATCTTCAAAACCGCTTTATAACCGATGTGGTTCAAAACCAGTCTATAGGTCATCGTGTGTAGTTATAAGGATGATTTCTGCTTTTTACTGCAATTTGGTTTGTGGATTATAATTACGCTTTATAAATATTATATATTGTACTAGCTGTATTGATTCGTTAAGCTTTGGAAAATGGGAAATTGAGCAAGCAATTGGTAAAAATCAAATATATCAAGAGCTATATCAGTTAAATATGATGTCCACATACTCGCTTGTGTTGATTTTTACAAGTATTTTTTAGGTAAGAGAGTAGCTCTCAAACTTAGCGAGAATGGTAAATCGAAGAAGCATTGTATAAATTTATTATGTTAAGATGCCTGAAGAGTCAGAGAGGGTGTCGTATTTAACGAATTAGGCTACCAGAATCTAAGAAAAATCTGCTCGCTCTCGTGGTAGTGACATATTTTGTTTGGGTTTTCAAAACGTCGATAGACTTAAAAAACTATATCTAATACATTTTATTTATTTATTTATAATTATTATTAATTTCATTTTTATCTCATACTACTTGTATTATAGCATATAATTCGACAATTTGTGCCAGATATAATTGATTCAACATATCAGCAGCAACCGCAATATTTTCTTCAAATATTGAGATTTCGCAATATATTAAAATAACTGGGTTCGACTCCGAGAAAAATTTAGAAAAAAACTACTTTTTGAGGAAATAATCAAAAAGTTAGGTTATCTGTTAAAAACTTACGTTTATCTGCAACATTTAGAAAACTTCTAAGCAATATGCAGTTATGAGTTTATTTTTAATTTAAAAAAAAAACTGCTAATTACGAAATTTAATATTTTTCTATTTAACTCCGGAGAATGCCAATCTGTTACATTTACGATATGAAATACGAAATATCTGTAAGATATAATTATTGTAGAAACTCAGAGCGCATCCTTATCTGGATCAATAATTCTGTTAGTCCCCATATACCTAATTGAAAAACTTTCATCTGTAAGCCACGAAATTTTTTTGTGTAGAAAATTTCAGACTCATTATTACCGAAAATTTGTTTTTGTTGATTTTGGCATACGTTGAGAGTTGATAAAAAAGGCTTACAACATACAACCACTTAGAATGGGCAATCAGTCAATGTGCCTTACTCTATTTTAGATTGTTTTCCGCTTTCATAATAATTTTTTTCATAATTATTTTTAATATGGAACCGTAACAGGTTGATTGAAACGGTAGTAAATATTATTACTTTTCAATTAAATTGATATGGATTTGGTATAGGCCTCTAGAAGTTAGATTAATTTGATAGCATACATAATTAGAGTTCAAATAAAAAATATTTTAAAAAATAAGACTAAAAAAATATATTAAAAAAATAAAAGTTATCAAAAATACATTAAAAATTATTAAAATAAAAAAAGTTTTTTTTTAAGAGGTACGTGTGAATGCAAAAACATTTGCTGTTGTTGTTGGATTAAACAGCGTACCTTCACTAGACTTGTAATTTACGTTTCGTGATTTCTAAAATCACAAACGTAAACAAAAGTTATAAAAATTAAAAAGTTCGCAAAAAATATTTAAAAATAACTACACATTCTATATTTACTTGACTATTAGTCGCTCAAACATTATGTTATCTAATTTTATCACCTAGTTTCTTTCATTGCTAAAGAGCTGTTTGCTCACGCTATTTTACGTCTCGCTTCAATAAAATTTATTGCGATTATTATTATTTTTTTTTTGCTGACGTAAGCAGAGTGTATACATATATATATCTCTACCATATTTCTTCATCACTTGAAGCTTTATGTCTTAAAAAATCGTTTAAGAGGTTATATTCACTTGCAAGTAAGAAAAAACGTTTTTGTTTTTGTGAATTTTTTTGTTTAAAAGGTATTTTATTTAATAACTAAATAAAAATAATGTAAATTTACAGAATTTGATATATTTTAATAATTATAATCGGTGATTTATTTTGAAAAATTTGGGATCTCCAAGAGAAACTCGAAAAAAGGCGTCTGACGGTGAGGAAGATTTTTATACTCTCGCTTTTGTTCACCTAACGGTCGTTTGTTTCAACTGAAAATAATCGAGTTAGACATAGAGTTATATATATATATATATATATATATAAATGAAGTTGAATAAATAGATGAAGACACAAGTTGAAATCCGGAAATCTGTTTGTCCGTGCAAGCTGTAATTTGAGTAAAAATTGAGACATCTTAATGAAACGTGTACCTTGGCAAAAACAAGTTAAGACGAGTTCGCAGATGACCATAATCGGACCACTGCCATGCCCACAAAACACCATTAAACGAAAACTTATAAAGTGCCATAACTAAGCACTAAATAAAGATATAAAACTGTAGTATGGCACAGGGGATAACAGTAGCAAGTGACACCTGTGGGAAAAATTTTTTAAAAGTGGCCGTGGCCACGCCTTCTAAGAGGTTTAATGTACATATTTTTTAAACCATAAAACCTCCATCTGGCAATACAAAGCACTGTAGGTCTATGTATGGCGTGACAGCGAGACAGTTTTACCTAACCTAACCTCCTAAACCTACAAAAATTAAATTAAATTAAATTTCATCTGATTCATTCACTTTCCAGTATGCAAATCAAGAATTAATCAATGTATCCGGATAAAACACGAAAAGTGCCTTTGAGCTGTACCACCTTATAACCAAAAATTGGCCAAAATTGTTCAAGCTCTCAGGTACCGAATATATGGACCCTAGTTCCTACTTGTATTGCGAACTTTTTATCGAAAATATCGGTCAATCTGTAAGATATATTATAGAAACTGATTTTATACCGCAAATATCTGTCAATATGTGGGTTAATGAAATTGAATGAGCGTGTTTTTCTAATATCAAGGTATCTTCGATATATATATATCGAATAAGCCAAAAACAAATCGATTTTTTGAAATTTACAAGTAGATATAACCCTCTAAACCTATGTGGATACTTTTACTTATAAAAAAATCTATGTATATATATACTTTCTATTTCATCTTTGGTTTAAGCTTTCATCGTTTAGGTCTAAAAACACATCGAGTGTGGCCTGAATCTCGCGTGTAATATCAAATTGACGCCATTAGCTAAATTCGACTTGTTATATTAAAATTTTAGCGCTGATATACGAGTATTTGTTTTCAAAAATATATACATACATGTTATAGCCATATGGTAAATGCTTCAAACTGTGTAGGTTATATTGTAAGATAACAAAAATTTTACATACATACATACATACGTTCAACAACAGTGTTTTTACTTACTTTAAGGTTGTAGTCTGGTAACTTGTATTCTTTTAATGCTTTTTTTGGGAATATTTTATTTGGGAAAAATAAAATTCAATTAGTTTCATTTTGTAATACAGTCAAACCTGGTTAAGAGAGAGTTCAAGGGACCATGATTTTTTTCTCGCTTATAGAGGTTTCTCACTAATGTTCTCACTAAAACTGTCTAATGCGAGTTTATAGCTTATAGAGGTACAGATGAAATTTGTCTCATCTACAGAGGATTATCAATGACATTCAAAATATTTAGTTGTAAACATGATAAAGTATAATTTATTAGAGTGATTACAAAGTGATTATCAAAATGCATAAATACAAAACAAGTAACAGGCAAATTTTATTTGAAAAAAATCAGTCAACTTTTTTTTGGTAAGTACAAAAGAGGCTCTCAGTTATAAAGGTCAGTGTAGGAAAAACGACTATCACTTATGGAGGTTTTTGTTTCTAACTCATAGAGGTTTTTGAGAGGTCAAAGTTTGGGACCTGAGAATTATTCGCACTTATAGAGTTTTCTAAAAAAAAAAGGAGGTGGCTGGCCTTGGTCATTTGGTAGCTTGAGGACATCTGAAAAAGAGAAATCAAAAAGTTAATTGTTCTGTGAGCTTGCCGTTCTGGTTGGAACTAGCATTAAACAATTTCGTTGAAAAATAAAAAATTGGTTTACTTCGAAAAAAGTGAAATATTTTAAGTAGAGTTTGGGTTGTAAAATGGAAAGTCAGCGATAAAAAAATATCTCGTTCCTGCGAGAGCTATTGTTGAGTAGACTAACATATTCAAATTTCAGCCCAATTGGTTGAATAGAAAATTGTTTATCATCCGTGTCGAACGTAAGAACGTTCCGTTCAAATGACAGTCGGGTCTACGTAACCGGAACGGACCCGGATCTTTATCCGGGTAGCTCTATAATTTATATAAATTTTAAATTAGCTTAAAAAATATTTTGTATAATATAGCTCCAAAATTTTGACGGTTTATTCTTAATACATAGTACTTTCAGAAAAAAGTCGATTTTTCCAAACCCAAAAGTTACCAGACTACTACCTTAAAAAAATTTTTTAGGTTAACAAGTTGCTGTCTTTCCATTCAAAAATTCTCTAATAAAACTCAAATAAAATTATACGCTAAAATAACAAAAGCAGGAATCTAGCGCTTGGTTTTCACACTTACGTTCCACAACAGTTGTTTTTTTTTTACTTCCGCAAAACGAGTTTTTTTCTAGCTCCCAAAATACTCTGCCGCAAGCTATATGCTCCGGCTAGATAGAAAGAAACTTATATGCTGTTACAGTGCTTATAATAACGGTTCTTTATGCTCAAAAACATTTATGTAACTATCTACAAATGCCTTCCACAAAAATTGTTTGTCAAAAATCTGTTTAGTTTTAAACAATTAAATTTTTATTTTTAATTTGTAAGTTGAGTCCTGCATAAATCACAAACAAATAAGTCAACCAGAGAGAGAAAGAGAGACAGAAAATGGAGAGAATTATATTGTATCAGTTATATAGAGACTGCTTAATATTACGCTATTGGTCTTTTTCCATGATATTATTTTTCGATTCTCATTTAGTTAATGTATTATTGCATACAATTTTCAATGTTTTGTATTTATCTAGGTATGTATATGCGCACTATATATGCATAGTATATGAAATCAATGAATACAAATGCAGTTTGGCATAATCGAAGGGCTAGCATATATAAAAAAAAATATGTTTAGACACATTTAATTTGTAATTCATCATTAACTACATTATACAATTTACCGATTTGTGAAATCATCTACATTATTTGTTTATTTATTTGTTTACATCATAAAAAATATGCTACAATAATCTCGTCATTTCTTTGCTATTATAACTATTTGTGTATGTATGTATGCATGTTTGCATGTATGTATGTATGTATGTAAGTTTTTCCTTAGTATTTTTTATATTTGTTTTTGCATTATTTTTGATTGAATTGTGATTTTTACTTAAAACTTAACGACAGCTTTTCAGTTCTTTATGTTAAGAAGTTAGACTTATTGCGATGTTGCTTCGTAATTGCAGCCTCAAAATGTATGCATGTATATATGTAGTTTGGATTTTTAGTTTTTTTAAATTTAAAATTTATAATATATATATAAGTATATTATTTGATAGTAATGCTAAATAGGTTAAATTTTATTAAATTCTGTATTATCTTTAAGATGTTCGCTTTTAATATATAAAGAATCAAAATACAAATGGTAAGTGTTGCCAGCTGTACAGCCATTTAATGACGCAATATATTAGTTATTAGGCTTGTATGTATATATGTACATATTTTGTTTGCAATATTTACGCTTACCAATTTGTTAAATGTGGTTTATATTCAATTATGTGTATTATTTTTAAAGTAGCTACTTTTTTTAAATGTAAAGAGCAAGTTAAAAAGTAAAATTGTTTAGCTAAAAGGGTTGCCACATCGCTACATTTTCATTTTTGCTCTCATTACGCTTTCCGTTAACACACTCGCTACTGCCAGCCAGTTAAAATAACAAAAAAAGAAATCTAAATCTTAGTGCCGCAAATGCACGCTCTCTTTTCGGGTTTGTTTATTTGAAAACGGTTTTTTTACAATAACATACATACTGCATACATATAAATATACCTAAACACATTTTCACTTACATGCGCCAATTTTAATTTAACTAAATAAATAATAAATTAAAATCTATGTTATACATTCGTTTCGATTTCCTTCCGCTTCCTCCCTTTAACTTGCATGTGTTTTGCAATTTGTTTGTTTTTGCGTGTAAAAAATAGATTAGAAATAAATATTTAGCATTATTACATATATGTATGTATGTATATACATATATATAAGCTAACTGTTTATTATTATTATACAGTACGGTTTATATAAACTAATTTATATATTTAAGTCAACGACTCTCATTCTCAATTCACTGTTGAAAACTCTTTTTCTGTTACTTTCATTTTTTTTTACTTTACTTTACTTTGCAGTTTGCTTATGTTTTGTTTTTCGTTTTTTTTTTCTTCTCTTTGTTTTTGTTTATGTATGTAATTAGCAATTAGTATCACGCGGAGCATCTTTGCTAAATTATCACTACAATATTACTAACAGAAAACAAAAAAACAAAAAAAAAAGTAATGTGAATTATACAAATGTTGGTTGCATTTAAATATAGGCAGAGACTGGGAGTAAAAGTACAACAATAGTACTGCTTAGGGCTAGCTCATTATTATTTACATATGTATTCGTTGATATATAAATATATATGTATATAAGTGTGCAACTGAGCGCCGTTTTTATTGTTGTTGTGTAACAAGACCATTCAATTGTTGTTTATTTGATTTATTAACATTGCGCTTAACGTAGAGGGATCACGTCATATTCACACCCAAAGCACGGCTCGAATACTCGTAGACCACATAACTGATCGAAACGGCTGGAAGTACTTTAATGAAGTTCGGTGTTATGCCACGGTACAAGCCACATATGCCCTCGTTGTGTAGAATTTTACGAAATACACCGAACATGTTGTCGTCATTTATAGCGCCCGCTTGCCGCAAGGGTATACCCACGCTGGGTAGCTTGTTTTTGGTGATCACTGCAAAGACAAAGAGAAACGTGAAAACATGTATAAACACCAACATTAAAAAAAAATTTAATTTATAAAATAAATAGATTTAGAATTAAAATTATATACAGAAACAAAAAAAATTAAGGTTAAAATTCAAGTAAAAAAACAACAACTAAAAATGTATGACGACAAAAAAACAAGAAACAAAATATTTAAAATCAATATAAAAAAATATAAAATAAAATGTATATAAATAATTATATAAACAAAAGGAAAAAAGTATACATTAGAAAATGTTTAAAACTTAAATCGAATTTAAAAATTTAAATAAATAAAAATTAAAAATAGTTAAAAAAAATGATAAAAATTAAAAAAAAATAAAAGCAAAAAAAGAAGAAAGTTAAAACAAAAAATTAGAAAAACCTAAAAAAAGTATATAAAACAATATGGTTTTAAAATTTAATACAACATGTATAAAGGCAAAAAAACACCAGAAATAAAATATTTAAATTCAGTATAAAAAACAAAAATATAAACTAAAATTAAAAAATATTTATAAATAATTATATACCAATTAAAAAAAAATTACACATTAGAAAATATTTAACACTTAAATCAAAATAAAAAAAGTTTAAATAAATAAAAATTAAAAGTAGTTAACTTAAAATAATAAAAATGTAAAAAATCAAATATTAAAATTCAAAAAAAAAATTAGAAAAACCTAAAAAATTTACATAAAATTTATATATTTTTCAAATTTATTTTAGAAGCTAAAGATTAAGTGTAATTAATGGATAAAAGCAAAAAAATTAAAATTAAAACTAAACTTAAAGCAAAAAGATAGAAAAACCTAACAAATAAATAAAAAAATGCTTTTCCAATTTATTAAAAAATTTAAAATTAAATTAGAAAAATTATAAATAGTTATAATTTATTATAAAAAAATTTCTAATTTAAAGTAATATATATATGTATAAAATATTCATTTCAAAAATTAAAAAGATAAAAAAGTAATATTAAAAAAAATCAAATTGAAATTAAAAATATTAATTTAAAAAAACAAATTAAAATTAAAATTAAGTTGAAATTGAATTAAAACAAAAAAATTAAATTATAAATAGTTGTAAAAAAATGTTGAAATTTAAATTAGCTAAAAGGTTTAAATAAAAATAAAAATATTAAAAAATTATATTAAATTGTATAACTTACAATATTTTAAAAATTTCGAATTAAATAAAAAATATTAACTTAAATTAAAATGAAATTAAAACTTAATTAAAAAATTAAAATAGTTAAAATAGGCCAAGTATCTAGTGCTAAAGTATTTTTAAATTAAATTTAAATTTAATTTACTATAAAATATTAATAAAATAAACATTTAAAACTAAAAATATATTAAAAAATTAAATATTAAAATTTAAAAACATAAGAATGTCAAAACAAAAATAATTAATAACAAAATAAAAAATACAAAGCAATGAAAAATATAAAAATAATAGTTGCTGCATGCAACGTTTGCTCACCTTGCGCTTGCAGCCGTGTGCGCACCAACGCCAATGGATACGAGCACACCTGTCCCAACGTACTGGACGCACTGCCGCATGCCAACAGCACGAGAAAGCTTGGTTGTTCCGTATTATGACTACTTAAATACTTCTTCTTTAAAGTTTCATAGACCGCCAGATCAATACCGGCATAAGGAATAATGCCCAACATATTCGGAATGTAACCACGATAAAAGCTACGTACACCCTCCATTAAATAGATCTTTTTCGCTGCATCCAATATACCCTTATACTGACCGGTCTTACGCAAGGCCAAGCGTGTCTTTAATACTTCCATCGGATAGATGATCGTCTGCGAGATGCCACCGGCCGCTGCACCAGCCATAAAACGTTCACCAATCGTCATCTGACGCTTCTCATCGCCGCGTATTAAACGCTTAATCTTCTCGTAAGCAGCAAATTTGATCGCCGATTCGGGGGCAATTTTTAGCACATTTATACCGTTGCCACGCCACATGCTGCGGAGACCTCCTTCATTTAGCATATATCTTAAACTATCAGAGATTCCGGCTTTATGTGTTTGAACCTGTTGTTGCAAGAAATTAATTATAATTATTTATTGTATAATATGTAAGCGTGCGTGTGTGTTTTTATTGTCATACCTGCAAGTACACTTTTATCCTATCTAATGGAGCTGTGCATGTACGCGACACTGCACCTGCAATACCACCAGCCGCCAGATGGCGCCACCACATGCCGGTCTGCATTTCACTTTGCGTGAAATCATCAGGTACATTTAAATCTTCACCAATGTCAAGGTACTGCAAGAGAGAAATGCAAAAAAAAAACGGCATCAGCAAATATACGTATGTATGTATATATGTATGTATGTAAATATAAATAAGTAGACATTGATTTTTGCACTACCAAATGTGCATATGTATGTGTGTTTCCGCGTAAAATGTGAAAAAAGGCTTAGCAGCACGCTTTTGCTGGCGAGGCTTTTCCTATAATATTTCTTATAATTGCACATACACACTGACCGGCCTCCAAACGTAACAAAGTCTCCGCAGTCACGAGGTGTAAATTAAAATGCAAACATACACACGAATTTTTTTAATGTACACACAAACATACATACATACACACAAACTCACATAGCACTTTTATGTATGTATTTAATTCTTGGCAGCGCCAATTTGAGGCGTAATAAAGCCAAACAAAAATTTTTAAATTGCTTTTCTGCACACAAATTTATATATAAATATACACATACATATACAGATGCACACATTCACAAAGGGGTGTTAGCCACCACCAGTCATCACATGTTTTCTAGCATTAATGATGTACTATAGATCGTAACAAAAACTATAAACAAACCAATTTTTTAGACAATTGAAGTTGTGAGCTGCAGTGTGATGAAGAGTGCAGTAAGAATTGCTGATGCGTCGAAAATTGAGAAATTTATAATATAATAAACTACAAGCTGCATAGAGGCTATGTATAATTAAATAAAGTAGGAGAAGTGAAACGAAAAAAAATATTTAGTAAAAA